GCTGTACCCTATGGGACTCCAGGATGAAGTAACTGTAGCTTTTTGGAAATGCACAGTCTTAAAACATCAGGAATATTTGTCATCAGGAACTAAACAGCAGAGCACCTTGCATCTGGGAGAAGATTGCTGCACTTCATATTAATAGGGTGACCTTGTGCTATTATGCAGGTGGTATTTAAAATATACATTTCGAGCTACAAATTCATACAGATTAAATGCATCCTTTCTGGAAGTATGCCCATAGTATTAATGGCAGATGCTATCTCTAGGTTCCATCAAATTTTATTTTGAGGAGAGTGGTTTTTAATGCAAAGCTTTTGCTTCCTATTATTGGATTTGACGGCCCCGTTGTGCCAGTGGGGAGAATGCTTAAGCCTGGTCATAACTCAAAAATTACACTCTATACAGCTTTGGAATTTTTTCCAGAGTAGCATCATGTCACTGGTCTTTAAAAGTAGTTTATATGTGTGTGACTCTGTGAAGGCAAACATGGGTAATTTATAGGCTGTGTGTGACTTGAATCCTGTAGTGCTTTTGTATGCCAGGCAGTCTTTTGGTAGAGTATGCCAGCTTACAGTTCCAAGTTGCACATGAGGAACTTCAAATGTCACAGTAAGAATGCTTTCATTTTTCACATGTGTGTGCTTTAACACCTTTTGTCTGCTTGTAAAATAGAAGAGCAAGTTGGGATCTAACGGCAGATGACTCTGGGTGACTTGCCGCATATTGGTAAAGTTTTCTTGCTCCCAATAGTCAACAAGTTTGAGTGAAAAAAGGATGTTATCTGCCCTGGGCTGGTGTTGTGATAATCATTTATCTTTCAGCTTCAGTCTTCCAGGCCTATAAAATAGGAGCATTAATTATTGCCTTTGGACAGGCCTTTGTGCAGTTTTCAAATTTTGTGTTCAGATCCCCTATCTGTAGTAATTCAGATCTAGATTTGTACTCCTGTGTACAGGTTATCTTTTTCTTTCTACGAAAAGCAGCTTGCATTCAAAGTGCTGAAGGAAATGCTTTGACTACAAACTGCTTGATTGAAAAATGAAACTTTTTTTTCCTTTCAAGGGGAAGCAGTTTATGTCCAAAGTGCTGGAGGAAGCACTCAGAGGCCACCACTTTGTCCAGCCCCCTTGGCTCCACTGGGAACATTCTAGTGCAGCCAATTCCAGCTAATTGTCAGACTGTGCAGGGCTTATACTAAACGACCAATCACATCAAATCAAACCAAATTACATAAATTCCAAATTACACAGCCGAATTTTAATTTTTTGTTGGGGGTACCCATATTTCAAGTTCCGAAGGGGATCCAATCAACTTCTTGCTTCTTGCTGCTGTTTTAATGTCCACAAATCTAACCATATGATGTTCACAGTACTATCCAGTCCTTTCTTGTTGTTTTTCCACATCTCTTGTTGTTATTTTCACATATTTTTCCTTTCTCTTTGTGACCTCTGATAGTCTCCACAAGCTGGTTAAAACAGTTTGTAATCCTGCGTGGATATTTTTTTTTTATCCAGTAGCCATTTCCAGACGTTTTCCATATAACATCACTTCCATACATGAAAACAGTCTTAGCGTCATTAATCTTCACCAATCTGCCTCCTTTCTCAAACCTCTGAGGAGATTCACCAGGAATGCAGTCTGAAAACAAGTCCGTTCCTCCTCCCGGCTATAAATCCTTTGGCAAGATGGTGACTCTGAATTAATTGCTGCGCCATTCCAAAAGCTCTTATTGCTTCTCGATCTCCATAAAGCATACTTTTGGTTAAAGTTTATCTCCACACAGACCTTAATCATCCTGCTTGGGTCAGTTAAACCGATGGTTCTAATGAGGAGGGGTTCTTGGTAAATCACATAGAAGGAAAGTAAAAAAGGTTCCCGCCCCCATTCAGTCCCGTTGCCGATATACCCAGCCTTTGGTGTATCTTCATCGTAAAATATTCCTGTTGCTCCAACCCGTTGTCTTCTTTCGCAGAGGTCACTTAAATTAGCAGACTTCACTCCCCTTCGTCACTTGAAATATGTGCATTTGCTTCTTTTGTAATTAATTATTCCAAATTGCTGCAGCTAGTGCGCGATCAGAGACAGCATCCAGGAGAGCCGAGGTCCACACGGGGGCATTCTGCCTAGGTCCCTCACCCCCTTCTTTCGAATTAGGGGGTGATTTATGGGCACAGCAGGCAAGGGCAGTGTTCCCCATTCTCTTGGGGCAACAAGGGAGGCTGCCTACTCCCATAACAGCCTCTTAATTACCCCGTGTGGGTCGGAGAGATGGTATTGTCGGCCATCTTCCAATGCGCCCCTAGTGGCCCCCTGTGCAGGGCTTATACTCAACCAGTTTATTGACAATTCAGATCTCTCTGCAAGGCACAATCCCTGTGTCATCTGAACCCCGGGAACAATGGGTGGTGAGAGAACATGCCAGCATCAAACTATAGCTTCAGCACCTGTCTTATTCTCATTTACCATTTAGAGAAACCATAGTTCCCTGAATTTGATGTCAGAGAACAGTGGCCTGTTTAAAAATGGAAACAAATGCTGTTAAGGTAGAAACACAAAACCTCAAAGTTTGTTTTAGGTCATTGATATATTGTATTGGAAAACTGATGTTTGCTGTCTGAAATGAGCCAAAGTAAATTCAGTTAGTGGACATTCAATGACAGTTGTCCTCAAATGTATAAATACAGGCAATCCTTGTTTTGCCCAGGAGTTCTGCTTCAGATCCCTGTACGCATCAGCGGAGCATGCCTAACACTGTTAGAAAGTCATATATAGAGCACACCTTACAGTCTTGCAGTCTTATAGTCACCAAAACAGAAGGTCTAGTTGCCATTTTTGTAGCTCTAAAGTCTTATTTTTCAAATGATGGGCTGTTTGTGATTGATTATCAGTTAAACGTCTGGCTAGTTCAGATGACAACTTTGAGCTAGGTTAAGAACCTTGAGAACTTAAAGATTTTATATATATATATATATATATATATATATATATGGCCTATTCCTACAGGATGTGGTATTGGTATGTGAAAACATTCAAGATCCAGTGATCCGCAGGCATGCACCTCCAGATGGCGGAGATGTCAGGCGTCATCCTAGCGCCCAGATGTCTACACTTGGTTGCAGGTAGCCGATAGCCAGGTGCAAAATATGCCTGTCTGATTTCAAACACTGCTTGCCATGTAGAAATTGCTATGTATAAATTCTCAGTCAAAGATTTTCTAGCTCAGACATGTGGCAGAACAACTAATAAACAAATATGGAAGACTGTAGATTAGCAGCATTTGAAACTCTTGACTGAAAACCAACCCAACAAAATTAATAACTAATGTTTATGCAATTCTTTCTGAAGTTAAATTTACTTATACACAGCCCACATATAAGACGAAATGGGAGACAGACTTGATAAAACAAAGTTCTAATATCCAGCATGTGGAATGAGCTTGGATGTCTAATAACATTCCTAGATCTTTGATGAGCTGTAGTCTGAAAACATATTTCTTCCAAGGCAATCTGTCAGTGGTACAGGGGCACCATCTCCTTGGGGTTGAGCCCTTTTGGGGCCCCCAATATTTTTTTGGGAGTCCAAAGAGCTCCCGAGGAGGCCAAGCCCAGAGCCGAGCGTGAGGCAGTGGAGGTGGCAGGAGCAGGAGAAGTCAAGGCCATTGAAGCTGTGCTGCTGCTGCTGCTGCAAACTCTTTTCGTGACAGCCAGGATTTACATTGCTCAATACTGAAAGACTGAGGCGATTCCCACCCCCCACCCCATTTGAAAAAGTGGCTAGATAAAATATGGCCAGTGCATTAAAACGACACAAAAGAAGTCAAACCAGCAAGAGAACATGTTCTCAGAATGAAAAGGTTGGAGATAACACCCACCCTTACAACTAATGTTCAACTGTTTGGGTTATCACTGTTACTACTTTTGGTTTGGTTCCAAGGCACCTCTCTTTACTGGTTTCCCAGCCCTCCCCCGTGTGTGTGTTGTATCTAATTAGCCTAGTGTAGTTTCTAATGGATGGCATCAGGTGGTTGAGTGTGTGGTCACATCTGATGAAATTGGTTGGTTTTCTTCCCATTTGCTTTCAACCTTTTATTGTTTAGATAACCCCTCCCCACCTAAAAAGAAACGCAGTGATAAGACAGCACCGAAATGTCTGAACTATATGACAACACAAGCTTTACTCTGAGCTTTTTATTTTATTTTTAAAAAATGGTTTTCCAGCTCTATTTCCTCCTATACCTTCTAGATTAATCCTGGGATGTATTTTTCCTAGTTCTGTTCGGATATGAATGGTATCTATAACATGGGCTCTGTAATGGAAGACATCTAAGCACCCTTTTGCCACTTCAGGGGTATCCCTGTGAAATGCTTTTCTCTCTTCTGGCAAGAAATGTCTCTCACTGACAGCTGCCTAGTAGTGGGTCTGTGCCCGAAGGTGGCTGTTGAAGGGTTTGGAGGCTGCTGGATTTGGATGCTCTGCTCTCCAACAGCTTATCCAGGAGCAGAGAACTTAAGAGCTGGGGAGCAGTGCTTGAAGAGATGTTAGGGTTGGTTGGGATGTGAGGGTTAGGTCTCTGTGGACAGCATGGAGAGGGCGCTTTCTTGCGGAGGAGGCAAGGCTTCTGGAATGGATGAGAACAGTTGCATGGGTTACTATACTGGCTCATACTTTCCCACTTTTAAAACCTACCCTTCCCTTCTCTCTTAGTCTAAATCTTCCAACTGTGAGAGCTTTATCTGGAAATTCTTTTAAAATTAAATATTGAAATACCAGTATTTGGGGACAGAATTGGTCAAGAACCTCTGTAAAACATTATTTTCTCCAGGGTGAAAAGTACATGTGGCTGTGCTGGAACTTGACTTCAAGTTTTCTATCCAGGTTTTAGGGAGACTAAATAAGACTGAAATACTTGCTGTGCTCCCCTAACTTCCAGGGGCACTTTTCATTGAAAAGATGCACAATGTCTGCTTTCCTAATGACATTTTCTGCTGTGCTTCCAGATGTGAATGGAGCTTTGTTTATCTCTGGAAATCTACTCATCTATTAAATGAAAAGGGCAGCACAACTTCGCAGCGGCACAATGGGCTTCAAAAGTGTTCCACTTTAGTGATGGTGGATGTATCCTATGACTAATGGAATCTTTCTGCAGCATTAGGTGAGATGCCTGAAGCCAAGGTCACCACTATGGTGCAAAGGTATGGTAATCTATGCGTCTTAATGGAGTTGGGTCTACTGGGGCCAGTAATAGTGGGCTTCATTTAAAATAATAATAATCTTGGGTCATTTTCTGGAATTCTGGTTCACTCTTCTGGTATCTGAAGCACCCTTTGGACTGTGCTAGCCAAGTTTGCAAATCACACTAAATCATTGTTAATTGCTTAAAGCAGGGATGTCCAACTTCCCAGAGACTGTGATCTACTCTCAGTATAAAAACCCTGGCAGTGATCTACCCATTGGATAGACCAAAGTTGTTGAGCTTTTCTGGGGGAGGAAGATCAAAAGTTGTTGATCTACTTTGGGGGAGGCTTCAGCAAAGTTGTTGAGGCCCCCCCCCACTAGTATGCAGGGGAAGCAAACTGCAGTCTCTGGCATTGTGTTGTATCTGAACCCAGGGACATGGTTTGTTTGTTTCTTCTTCGGTTAAACAGACTGCAGCTTCTTGGGGGGGGGCCTTTGGCTACCAATCTTGGTTTGTTGGGAGTGAAACCCCCGCTTTGGATGTAATGCTAAGCCTAGGAATCATTCCTTGTTTCCTCCCAGTGTGAGCCAGCAGGAGCAAAGCAGTGTTCTGCCATGTGCGGTAAGCCATGTGACCTCCAAATGCATGCCTTGTGACTTTTGTGGCAGAGTCATGGAAAAGAGATAAAAGGAATCGAGTTTCCACTTCTTTGGCACTCTCAGAATGGTGTGAATTTGCTATCCTAACTGCAAATTTCAGATCTGAATTTGAACGGGTCTTGATGTGTCATGCTTGGCAAAGTCATCCTCTTAAGGATCAATCTTGGATGCCTTGAAAGGTCTTGAGACTGTCATTGTCTCCAAGTGGGGTGTGTGTGTGTGTGTGTGTGTGTGTGTGTGTTTATACTTAAATTTCAGGAATTTACACACATTCCCTCCCAATATTTATCCCAGGATGGTTTGTCAAGCAGGGATTATAGCTCAGTGGTGCATCATGTGCTTTGCACACAATTCTAGGTTCAATCCCTGTATCTCCCAGTTTCAAAAGGACCAGGTAGTTGATGATGGGGCAGATTTTTGTCCAGCTCTGCAAAGAGCTACTGCTAGTCAGAGAAGACAATAATAGTGTAGTCTGACCTGATGGAAGAGAGCTTTCAGGGTCCCTAGGGATTTCATTTTGTATCTTCCTTGACAAGTGTGAGCTGGAAATCTCAAAGCAGTGACTGTGACTGTGGTTGTTCTTCCTGCCCAATATGACCAAGCACTGCAGGACTGGGAGGGAACGACTCTATGGAGCCGGAGCGCCATGGAAAGTGGTCTTATCTAAAGCCACTTCATATGCGACAGCACACACTTCTGTCTTCACTGCATATCAACTGCATCTCTTGTGTGACGATAGAAGGAATTTGGGGTGGCTGAAAATGCAGTTAAAAATGTTCTCCCTGAAGCGAGTTGCAGGCCCAGATGTCATGTTTGCCAGATTGTCACCTCCCCGCTTCTCCAAACACAGCTGCCTTTCCATCAACACATGGTGGAAACACAAGGATCCATCCTTGCTTTAATGTTTACTTAGCCCTTAGTCATAGAATCATGGAATCGTAGAGTTGGAAGGGACCCCTAAGGCTCATCTAGTCCAACCCCCTGCAATGCAGGAATCTCAGCTAAAGCATCCAGGACAGGTGGCCACCCAACCTCTGCTTAAAAACCTCCATGGAAGGAAAGTCCACCACCTCCTGAGGTCTGTATACTGCATTTCCAGAAGGAAGCTAAGTCTGTCAAATAATTAATCAGGAGCTACAATTTGACATTTCATCAATTTTGTGTGTGGAAAAGGTAGAGACCACATTTGAGAGGGTATTTCTTTCTCTTTTGAAATGGCTCACATTTCGAAATGATTTTCCTTTGTCTTGTCACATGAAATTTTATACACACTTTCCAGGAGTATAAATAAAGGAGTATTAATAAATATCTGCTGGATCTCCAACTTGATGTCTTTATTCTCCCAATTAGATTAATTTTTCCTGAGAAATTATTTCTTTCTATTTGGGCTTTGTTGGGTTTTCAACATTGCAATGTATCACCACCCAAACATCAGTCGGTGAGCATGGGGTGAAACTGACTCAGCTCTCACCACAGCAGCTGAGGCGCTTTCACCCCAGTGCCTTGCGGGTCTCCTGCCCCCAGCTGAGCGAGCCCCACATGATCAGCAGGGACCTGGGGCTCTTTTGCAAGACTCAGCCGGGCAGTGGGAGGGCTCCCCTCCCCCAGCTGAGCGAGCCCCGACGTCCCTGCCAGTCACACGCGAGCAGCAGGGACCCCATGAGGAGCACTGTGACCTAAATAGGGTGGTTTGGGGAAACTGGCCTGTGGGCTCAGAGGTGTTCCTAACCCTTGGTAAAGCAGCGAAACTGTTTTTTTATCTGAACCATCTTGTTGCTATGTTGTGGAAAGTAAAACAGCAAGCTTCTAAGTTCTAGAAAGCTAAAATCACAGAAATACGATTGTTTCAGGGAACCTGAATAAGTCCATGCATACAACTGGCCCTCTGCAACCTGCTCCTTTCATAAATAGAACTATGTTCAGTGTTAGAAAAACTATCGGTAGTTAAAAGACCTCGGCCCAGAAGGTATAAAAAGTACACCTCCCACTCTTCCCCTGGTTTTCACTGAATGCGTTTCTACTGATGAGCACACAAGGGAGTGAGATGGTGTCGTCAAAATTCTTCTTGCACTCTGTAAGCAGCCAGATACAGATGAGCATTCCAGAACTTTTGTTACCCAAATGGTTCTGGCATTCCAAAGTTCTTTCCAAATAAAGACTACGGTGTTTGCATTTCGGCTGGACTGTGTGCAGTTACCTCTGCAGTTGCATCACAGAAAGGGCTACACTTTGCTGAATCATAATAACTGCCAGCCCAACTTCACAAGCTTGAGCCACAATCTTGACTTAAAGCAAAGCATGCTTTATATATTAAAGAGGGGAACCACAAGACTCCTGAGGACATCAGCTCCGATCAGTTTGGCTACAAAGCTTAGAAGATGTGCAGACAAGAAGCCTATATGTAAAAATGTCTGGGTTGTATCCCATCTCGGCTCTCCCCACCCTCCTCCCTTTAAAAAACAAACGAAAACCCCACTTCACTGAGAAATGAAAGGATCCACGAAGGTCACATTTTACATGCTGCTGAAACATTCAGACCTTTCAGTGTCCCTGGAAGTAAAATATGTATATAGTAATGTCAGTATATTTTTGTACTCACACAGAAGTGTTGATTCTGCTCCTGTGTCCCTCCTAGGCGGAGATGGAGAATGGCAATCACTTGTTCAGGAGGTCAACGAAACATTCTCATCTGTATAAAGTGCTGACCAGGGCATGTGGTGAAGAGACCGTGCAGAAGAGAATATTAGCTGCATCGGTTCCTTTTCAGGCCCATCCTCATGGCAGCTTTTGTACCAGGTCCCTCCCCTTTCCATTGTCAGGGAGGGATCTGCGTTTCCCAGCATTGCCTGTGCAACACCCCTCTGGAGTGCAAACAAAAGATAAGGGCAGAAAACCCACTTGCTCCTGATAGTTGAACCTCCCTTGACTTTCATTGTAGGTGCTGTATATCAAAAGCATATGAATGGATCATCTCTCAACTCAGCAAGCAATTTGTAAATTACTTACTCCTCTTACCGTGTTTTTGGCCCTGCAAGGGCTTTCTTTTTCTTCTTCTCCTTCTCCCTCTCTGCCTCTTCCTTCTTGGTTTTCCTTCTTTTCACAGTTCTCCCCTTTCTGTGTTGTCACTGCCTGTGCCCTTTCACCTATGGGCACGTGGACTCTGCGCCTTCCCAGCCATCAGTGAGTTTTATAGAGTTTGTAAAAGAACCTTTTCGAGTTGTTGTTCCTCCCTCTCTGTGCGGGTGGTGTGTTTGGGTGTGCATGTGCGGAATGACAATGCTCTTGCTTTACATCTATGAGCAGCTGCAGAGCATGGGGATAAATCTGGCATCATTTCTTTGTACTGCTCTGGTTTGAAGCACCTGTTGTCTCAGTCTAAACACTTTTATTTGGATAAGCATATTTCTCGTGTGTGTGTCTGTTTCTCTTATGTGGCGAGTGTCAGCCAGACTTTGACATCACTGCTGCTAGGAGTCTCCACACACTTGCTTCACTTACCTAGTTTCTCTCTTTGGCGGATGGACTGTAGCTGAGTAGTGGAATGTGAGGCCCCAGAGGCTCAAAGCAGAGCAAACTGGGCACCAGCGTTCAGGGGGGAATTTTTTCCCCCCCTTTTGAAAGTGTTACTTTAGCAGGCACACACTAGATTACACAAAGTGAACCCTGTACCTCATGAAGCAGAGGCATGGCTTTATCTGGGGGACACTTGCGCTGAAAAACCACACACCACCAGTTCTTGGGGTTAACTGTACTTCTCAGACTAAATGTTTGAGAGCCCACTAAAACTGTAAGGTGGGAAGTAATCTGGAGAACCTGAAGTTTGAGCCTTATTGCCTTGGTTTCCAAATAGGTGGTTGATACTCTCAAATGATGAAAACAGTGACTTGGGGAATGGGAGGTGCAAGTAACAGGTATTTGAGATGTGATTTAATTAATTAAAAATGAGTAGTCTCATCAGAGAGTTCTTGTTTATCCCTACTGACCACTAAAATCTGTGGCTCTAATCACATTCCCACTGTCCTTTGGTCAACCTAGGCTTAGTTCACCAGAGGTCTTGTCAATGCTTCAACACACATCCAGTTCACAGGCCTGAAGTTTTGTGCACCTGTGGTCAAGTTATGAGTTGAATGAATCTTGGGCTCTTCAAATTGCAGGTGCCAATGTGTTCTGGTTAGATGTCATTGTTTACTCTCCTTCCCTTGCAAAAAGTAAGGGACCTATATGGCAGTGGCTGCTGAATTTTGAAGTCTTCTGCCTGTTAAAATGAAAAAATAATAATTCTTGCTTGGGTTTAGAAGGGGCTGCATCCATCATCATCATCATTCTGCCCATCTTACTGGGTTGCCCCAGCCACTCTGGGCGGCTTCCAGCAAATTAAAACACAGTAAGACAGCAAACAGGGATGCGGGTGGCACTGTGTTCTAAACCACTGAGCCTAGGGCTTGCCGATCCGAAGGTCAGCGGTTCAAATCCCTGCAACGGGGTGAGCTCCCATTGCTGCCAACCTAGCAGTTCAAAAACACGTCAAAGTGCAAGTAGATAAATAGGTACCACTGCAGCAGGAAGGAAAATGGCGTTCTGTGCGCTCTGGTTTCTGTCACGGTGTTCTGTTGCGCCAGAAGCCATTTCTGTGTGCTGCTCTGGTTTCACCAGAAGCGGCTTAGTCATGCTGGCCACATGACCTGGAAAAACTGTCTACGGAAGCGGATAAACGCCAGCTCCCTCAACCTTTTAAGCAAGATGAGCACTGCAACCCCAGAGTCGTTCGCGACTGAACTTAACTGTCAGGGTTCCTTTACCTTTACCTTTTTAACACAGCAAACACTAACAACTTCTCAATACAGGTCTGTCTTCTAAAAGTCTAAAACTCAGATAGCTGTTTATTTCCTTGATGGGAGGGTGTTCCACAGGGCAGATGCGACTACCGAGAAGACTACCCTTTGCCTGGTTCCCTGTAGTTTCACTTCTTGCATTGAGGGAACAGCCAGAAGGCCCTCAGAGCTGGATCTCAGTGTCCGGGCTGAACAATGGCCTTTGGTTGGTTTTCTGTTGCTCGTGTAGTTCTATAATTTTACAGTTCTGTATTGATAGCTTTATCAATAAGATAAGAGACGCCTGCTTCTTGGGAGGAAAGCAATGACAAACCTAGACAGCATCTTAAAAAGTAGAGACATCACCTTGCCAGCAAAGGTCCGTATAGTAAAAGCTATGGTTTTCCCAGTAGTGATGTATGGAAGTGAGAGCTGGACCATAAAGAAGGCTGATCTCTGAAGAATTGATGCTTTTGAATTCTGGTGCTGGAGGAGACTCTGGAGAGTCCCATGGACTGCAAGAAGATCAAACCTATCCATTCTTAAGGAAATCAGCCCTGAGTGCTCACTGGAAGGACAGATCGTGAAGCTGAGGCTCCATTACTTTGGCCACCTCATGAGAAGAGAAGACTCCCTGGAAAAGACCCTGATGTTGGGAAAGATGGAGGGCGCAAGGAGAAGGGGACGACAGAGGACGAGATGGTTGGACAGTGTTCTCGAAGCTACAAACATGAGTCTGACCAAACTGCGGGAGGCAGCGGAAGACAGAAGTGCCTGGCGTGCTCTGGTCCATGGGGTCACAAAGAGTCGGACACGACTAAACGACTAAACAACAACAACAATGCTTAGGGATGTTCAGTGGTAGTAACCCAGAACTATTTTTTCTGGATCAGAGATTGATATCTTTCCACTTTACCTATAAAACAAGCTTGTCTGTCAATCTCTCTGTCTCTCGCCTCTCCCTGCCCATAAGAGAAAGATGGCTTGTAGCAGAGTGAGAAGTCCTGACTTCAGAAAGTTTTCCAGTGTCACTGCAGATTTTGGCTAAGGCTCCTGGATGCTCTTTGTCCTGAAGTGGGACAGGCACTTCCCACTTCTCACAGTTTTGCTGGAAGCATCCTTCGGGAGAAAGATGATTAATGGCAAGCTCAGAGGAATCTGTCTGTGTCCTACATCATTCTGAGCAGGAGGAAGGAGTAAACTAGCCTTTGCTGAAGTAGGCAGAATCAAAGAATACCTGTAATCATCCCTCTCTGTGCCCCCTAGCAGCCGGCGAACTCTCACAACACACAAGGGTGAGTAAAAGAAGAAACAAAAATTATCCCATAATCCCTGGCCATTGACCATCCTGATTGGGTCTGATGGGAATTGTAGTTCATAACATCTGGAGGACACCAGATTCTGTAAGGTTGGTCTTAACAAGAAGAGTGCAGTATTTACCATAGATTCCAGTGTATAAGGTGACTTTTTAACCCCAGAAAAGGGGGTCGCCTTATATGCCAGGTATGGGTGGCGCGGAGCGGAGGGTGCCCCCCCCCCCGCGGCAGCGGCGGCTCCGAAGCAGCAGCAGCGAGCGGCGGACTCAGCTCTGCGCCGGGCAACTGGGATTATAAAACAAATCCCCAAATTGCATCTGCTAATTTGGGGGGTCGTCTAATACGCCCAGTCACCTAATACAATCTACGGTACTTAGCTAGAGTACAGGTGACTTCTTGTTTTTGTTTGTTTTTTTTAAAAAAACCCAACATGCTTTTTAAAAATGCCCCTGTTGAATTTCTAGTTTTCTAATCTGCTCTAATAATAATAATAATAATAATAATAATAATAATAATTTTATTATTTATACCCCGCCCATCTGGCTGGGCTTCCCCAGCCACTCTGGGCGGCTTCCAAAAAAATATATTAAAATACTGTACTACATCAAACATTAAAAGCCTCCCTAAACAGGGCCGCCTTCAGATGTCTTCTAAAAGTCTGGTAGTTGTTGTTCTCTTTGACATCTGCTGGAAGGGCGTTCCACAGGGCAGGTGCCACTACCAAGAAGGCCCTCTGTCTGGTTCCCTGTAACCTCACTTCTCGCAGGGAGGGAACTGCCAGAAGGCCCTCGGAGTTGGACCTCAGTGTCTGGGCAGAACGATGGGGGTGGAGACGCTCCTTCAGGTATACTGGGTTGAGGCCGCTTAGGGCTTTAAAGGTCAGTGCCAACACTTTGAATTGTGCTCAGAAACGTACTGGGAGCCAACGTAGGTCTTTCAAGACCGGTGTTATATGGATTCCTATGTAATCCAAGCATTGTTCTCTTCTCCACTGTAATCTAGGAACACAGATGGTTAAAAAAACAAAACACCTTGTGCTCTGATTGGCTCCTCCTTTTTCTAGTTTCTCCAAACGAAGTACTGTATCTGGTTAAGGTTCTTGCATAATTTCTGCCCCTTGTGTGGAACATGAGAGCTATTAATATTATACAGATGATTGTCCATGTTACTTAAATCAATAGAGAACTTTGATCACCTGCTTCAGAGAGGAATGTCTGCAGCCAAATTATAAAGGAAAAGTTGGGGCACAAAGCATTCTTGTGGCTGCTTCCCTAAGGAAATAATCATGCATTTTTATAGTCACTATTTCCTTTTCCCTCCTCTCCCCTTCCCTTGAGAAAATCTGCACAAAACACCCATCAGTTGCTAAAAGAAACCTAAAAAGCTGCCCTGTGTTATTGGAGCCCAAACTGGAGTTGATGCTGAAGAGTTATGATTGAGTCTTCTGGTATCTGATGGGGTGGGGTGCTGTTCCCTGTAGCGTATCCCCAATTTTAAATTTCAACTGCTTGATCTGCTATTAAGTGTGTGTGTGGGGGGGAGAATTTGGGGTACCTCTCTGTCCCTGCCCCAGCGGGGGTGGGGGATGGGTTGATGTAAATCAGATGTTAAAGAATCGCCCTCCTCTCCCTGCATTCCAGCCCCAGTCTATATTTCTCCCTCCATGGCTGCTTTTAGGACACTGGAAGATGCTTTCATGCATTTTCTCATATAATATCTAATTTCTCATATAATATCAAATTATAAATCTGTAACTACATCCCAGTGTGGGTCAAACTGGAAGAGAGGCTTTTGCCTGGATTTATGGGGAATCGCATCCCTCCCTCCTAGGTCCCCCTGTGCAGCTCTCCTCAGCTTTCTCATCGGTTCTGTTGCATGTAAAATAAGATATATAAGATATATTTTTGCATATGTAGATCACTGAACTGTTTTTGAGGACACGTAATGAATGTCCCCATGGGGGGTGTTGGTGGGGCTGAAGCCCAGGGTCTTCTGAGTCCAGGCCCCTCCCCCTCCCTTTTTGAAGCTTTACCTTTTTCTTTTTAGTTTGATTTCAGGGCAGGTGGGTTCCCTCAAAAGGGCAAACCCCAGCTGCCCACCATCTTAATTTGCCAAGAGGCCTCTAGACTTTCAAATGGTGTCCTGAGCCTTGAGTTCTTTGACCTGAGCCCGATGACTAGATTAGCATGTAAGATATAGACACAGTTTACTCATGACAGTTCCATTAACCACCATCATCTGGAACAGATCTTGCATCACCTCAGGCCTTTTGAGATTAAAAGTGATACATTTGTACATTCTGCGTCCATTCACAGGAATATTTTCAAGCAGAGGCTTCAGTCTCATATCTTGGATATAATATTTTGCCCTCCTCCACGAGTGGTGCTCTCTCTTTTGATGGCTGTGCAGAAAGAATTGCTGTATATGTATAAGTAGATAACCCTGTTTATATTCTCTGTGCTGCATTACAAAGGATGATTGCACAGCTTATTGTTATATAAAATAAAATTTGAGTGGTGCCAGTTGTGGTATATAGCTTGCCAATTTTGGTGATCATGTGTGTTCTGTTTTTTGTTTCTCATTTCTGTTGACTTTATTTGTTTAGGCCTCCTATAGAAGGCGGAATTTCAGAAGTTGAAATAATATCTCAGCAAATAGAAGAAGAGACCAAAAGCATAGCACCTGTACAGCTTGTTAATTTTGCTTATCGGGATTTACCACTAGCTGCGCTAGATCTGTCTGTAGCAGGTTCCCAACTCTTGTCAAATTTGGACGAGGAGTACCAAAGAGAAGGGTAAGTGCAAAATGACGAATTTATTTGAAACCTTTCTTTTTATATATATATTTTAAAAAATTAATTCATTTTCACTTTTAACATTTCATTTTCAGTGAAATTCATTTTCACTTTTAACATTTGTCATCATACACAAATCACAATCATTTTACAAATAGGATTCTCAGAATCCCCAAACTTCCCTCCACACCTCCATGGTTGCTCCAGATATTCTTTTCAAACTGCATCGTATTGTATTCTCCATATTTTCTTAAATCTCAGTTTTATCATAATTCTTGCTTCATTGCAAGTGTTTTTAAAATCCTGCCAGCGTTTTCAATTGTTTACAGTGTTCTTTCAAGTAACTTAAAAAAATTCCCCATTCTTTATTAAATTGAGTATCCTCTTGATCGCTGATTTCCCCGGTCATTTTTGCCAATTCGGCAGAGTCCATCTTCTTTATTGGCCATTCTTCTTTTGTGGGTGAATTGTCCTCCTTCCATCTTTGGGAAAGTAGCATCTGCGCACCTGTTGTAGCACACATAAATAGTCTCTTCTGATTCTTAGGTATTTCTGGAACTAAAATTTCTAGTAAGAAAGTTTCAGGTTTTTTTACAAAAGTTATTTTAAACATTTTTTTCAACTCATTATAAATCATTTCCCAATATGCTTTTGTTTTTTTGCACATCCACCACAAGTGGTAAAATGTGCCTTCCTTCTCTTTACACTTCCAACATGTATCTGTAGCAGTTCTATACATTTTTGCTAGTTTAGTAGGAGGTACCAGTGATACATCATTTTCATATAAATATCTTTCAACATACAACATGCTGTAAGTTTTAAATCTTCCCTCCATATTTTTCTCCATTGTGCCAATTGTATATTAGGTCCAGTTACCCTTGCCCATTGTATCATTACTGATTTCACTTCTTCCTCTTTAGTATACCATTCTAACAGTAGTTTATACATTTTTGAAATCAGTTTAACATTATTCTCCAATAGTTCTTTTTCAGACCTTGAAGTTTCTGTATTCTGTATTCTGTATTCCTTTTATCCTTCATACACACATCATTTAATTGGTGGTATTGCAGCCAGTCTTGTCACCAAATGTATTACATCCTCAAAAAATTTTATTCTCAATTGATCTTCTGCTTCAAATAGCAACTCTTTATAAGTTGCCCACTCACTTTTTGCATTAAGTTTTTTCACAGATATTGCTTCCAGTGGGGAGATCCACCAAGGTGTTTTCCGTTCCAATAAGTTTTTATATTTCTCCCACACCAAGTAAATTGATTATGCACCTTTACACACTTTTGTCTTTCCATACCATAGATATGCATGCCAACCACATCTATTATTGTGACCGTCTAAGTCCAGAATATCCACATTCTTTAAATCAATCCACTCCCGCAGCCAGCAAAGACAGGACGCCTCATAATATAATCTCAGATCTGGCAGGGAGAAGCCATCTCTTTCCTTAGTGTATGTTAGCAATTTATACTTTATCCTCGGTTTCTTCCCCTGCCAGATAAATTTAGAAATATCTTTCTGTTTTAAGTGTCCTGTTCCACTGACTACTGGGATCGACTGGAACAAAAATAACATTATTAGCAATACATTCATTTTTATTACTAATATCCTTCCCCACAGTGATAAATTCATCCTCCCCCATACCTCTTTATTTTTTTCCAAGTGTTAATATAGTTATCTTTAAAAAGTTTATATTTTTGCTGTCAGCCATACCCCCAAATATTTCACTTTTTTCTCTATTGACAATTCTGTTTTTTGTTGGAAATCCTTATTTTGTTGTTCTGCCATATTTTTTGCCATCAGTTTTGTTTTAGTTATGTTTAACTTAAAGCCTGCTACTTGACCAAACGCCAAAATTTATGCAAGACCCTCGGTATACTTACCAATGGGTCACCCATTTGAAATGTTTCTACCCCCCCCTTTTCCCCATAAGATCAAGGCAACTTGCAGCCCACTCTTTAGTAAGAACATAGGAAGAGTCTGCTGGGTTAGGCCAGCATCCTGTTCTCTCAGTGGCCCAGCAGATGCCCCAATGGGAAACCAGCAAGCAGGATTCAAGCCCAAGACTCCTCTCCCCTCCTTCAGTTTCCAGAAACTGGTGTTCAGAACCATCCAGCCTCCGACTGGAAGCCGTGACAAAATACTGGTGTGATAAGTTTATATCTGCCAGCTCTCATTAATCTCCTCATTACAATTTGTATTGTAAACCGCCCTGTGATCTTTGGATGAAGGGCAGTACAGAAATTTAATATTTTTTAAAAAAAGAAAAGGAATAATAGTCCATCTATACCTCGAGTGACAGTGCTGGATCTAAGGGTACTACCACACTCTGAATCTGTTCCTTTTAGAGGGAGTGCAATCTGATCCAAAACAGTCTAAAACCACCTAACTGGGGAGACGAACAAACCAGAAACTGTACCTCCATCTTGTCCGATTGAACTTCTGTATATTGGCCCTCATGCAGTCCATTATTTTTATTTATTTATTTCATAAGATTTGTACACCGTTTGATTTTTACAAAAGAAAAAAAACAGCTCAAAGCTGTTTACAAAGAAATAAAACAATAAAGTGGAGAAAAATTCACAACCATACTTTAAAACACACAAAAGTTAAAATACTAAACCAGATTAAAACCCCATCATTATGAGCTTTAAGCACTGGTTTAGAATGCTTACTGGCTCCACCTGGGTTGCATGAAAAGGAAATGTAGAGCTTGGTGTCATTGCATATTGACAGCGCCTGGGTAGTGTCTCCCAGTGGCTTCATTATAGACCTTAAGAAGCACAACGGATAAAACAACCCTGTTGGACAACGTATCCTCAATGCCACGAGGCAGAGCAATAGTCACCACTTTCTGGAACGGCTTTCCAAGTAGGAGTAGAATCACAATTCAGACCTCAATTCAAGAGAGCCTATCCAGAAGGATGCCACAGTCAGTAAATTGGGGCCTGTTTTTCCACTTGGAAAATCATCCTGTGAAAAGTTCCCACTCATAATGGGCTCCTCGCCACCACCTTCCTTGAAAGGTTTTAAGGCTCCTTAACTGGTGTGGTGACTTGACATCCCAATACACGCAGTGCTGCTGTCCAAGTGGAATTTCGGTATGAGAGTTTCCAACTGCTTTGAGGTTGCCAACATAATGTCAGGAATGAAGATGCTCAGGAATAAAACTGATATATCTAGACACTTTTTCTGTATTTAACTGAGGCGACTTTCCTGCATACTGTGTTAACATTGTGTTTACAGTACATGCTTCAAACAGTTATGTTTCTGAACAAGAAATGTTTTGAATTATCAGGGGCAAATAATCCCCCCCTCCAAAGCAATGTTTATTCAGAAGAATGCTGAAGCGTAAGTTCAAGGATACAAAAAAACTGAATAGTGTAATACAGAGCATTTTTATTGTTCAAAGTTCTTTGCATATGTTATCCTGATGTAATTATCCTACGTGAATCCTGCAAAATAGGTTAATTTTATTCCCTACTGCAGAGGCCAAGAGGGTGGCTTGCCTCTTGACCGACATGAGGGAGTCATTACTAGTAGCTTCCTAATTCAGAGCTCATTCCTTTAGCTGCTATGCTAAGCAGCTTCTAGCTCTCACATTGATAGGCACTTGGAGGTTAAATCCAATATTAGTCAGTGGCGTCCAGTATGGCATGGAAGGGGCACCTTCCCAACAACAGTGTGACTGCGGGTGGGAAGATCAGGGCTGCGTGGTCCCACTGGCGAACCAGCCTGGTGCCTGGCTTATCTGCACCCTTCTGCCTTGCAGCATGGAGGGCTTCTGTTCAGGGTTCCAGCCATTCCATTCTTGTGTACAACCACCCCTCTCTTCTGGTGCCCCCACTGCTCCCCCCCGTCAGCATTTCTTGTGGTATGGGCACTGCAGGGCCCAGTCACAGCTGCATTAAAGGCTTGGATTTATTGAGCAGCTCTCGCATCGATCCCCAAGGACATATTTTGATGTGAATGGAGTCAGCAAACTGTCGGTTGGCCAGTTTTCACTCAGGCTGTTCCATACTTTGGTTTTCTTTTAAAATGGAAGTCTCTCACTCTTGTAGAGCTAGACAAAAGCAAGCCAATGTTCAGCCAATGAGTGATGGGAGCACTGGCCGCCATAGTGCTTGGTTTGTTCATTGTAGTTTTAAGTGAAGAGTGTCTCACCCACTATCTAGAGAAGGGACTTCCAGGTTCATTTTGAATCCGTGTTTTGAAAGAGAAGTGATTGCTACTTCTCGTGAGAAATCTAGAGTTTTAGTGTAGCTGTGCTTGGGCAGTAACCTATCTACCTTGAAACAAAATGTTCCAGCAAAAACAGGAGTTCATACTTATTATATACTTGGCCTTATTTCATTGGGGGAGAGGAGGCAATTTCATTCCCCCAACCTTGAGTTAGAAATGTTTTTATTCTTTTGCTTTTAACCTGAATTCTTATGTTCTCATTTTGTATTTTTGTGTTGTGAACTGTGATACTCGGATGAAGGGCTGTATGCACATTAAATAATAACAAGGAGTGCAACAGGCTAAATTTTGGACAACTGCATATAGTCTGTAAGCCTATATCTGACCTTTGTTTTAACGTATCTTCCTGGTGGCAAGTGCCTAATGTTTGTTAATTGTCAATCTTAGTTTCATTCTTGTCCTGTAACCTAAAGCAGATCACGCAGTTGGGTCAGTTTTGCAAGAAAGGCCCTATAAATATGCCAACTAGTATTTTGCTAAGGGTTTTCAGCTGGAGGAAAATGCTGATAGGATTTCTGGATCCATGCTGCAACATTTGCAGGGAAGACAGTGAGAAGACCCCTCTTGTGACTTTCCAAATTTGGTTGCCCAGATTTGGGAGAACATGGAATATGGCAACTAAAGTGGAAAATGCTTGAAATGACCTATCCAGACAATGACTTGACTTATTTTTCTAGAGTGCCCTCTGTTCTCGCTGGGCTGCTTTTGGGAGTGTTTCTCCCTAACCGCCAGGTTGGCTTCTACCGTCA